ATGAAGGGTTATCACTCAAATGTTTTGTTAGAGTAATAAAATTCAACAATTACTCGTGTGTACTCTGTGAATAGATTGAACAACGAAAAAAATTTTCACGAATTTGCACGAGGAAAAAACGAAACCGATTTCGAACGTACCGCGCGACCAGGAATCGACATCAAAACTTACAAGGAGGTCATCTGGTTCAACCATGACATCCGCTACTTTGTTGGCAAAGTAATGCAAATTCCAAATATAAGTGCTAGATTTCCTGTTGAGGGAATTTGATGTATTGGCCAAGAATCTGGCCGGCTCATGTGGTGAGGAACCTAATCGGTCTACTGTCTGTCTAACCTGGCATCCGGTTTATGGACATTTGAAAGGCAATTAAGTCGTGCCTGGATTGAACTTTGGGGTAAAATCGATGCCAGTTTTCTTGCCATAAGTGGTTTATCACAGATCGCAAATATCTCCCAAGTTTAGCTTCACTCCTATCTTAGGCGTTTAGGAGCGATTTCATCAATTAGGTTACTCTGGAGCCTTGAGCGTTGAGTGGCAGCTTTAAGAGGTGTTCTTTCAATGGTGCACTTATGAGACTTGTTTTCGCAAAAGGACTGCATCTTGGAGCTAACCAGCAGTCTTCTGATCTGACAAATTTTATGCTGCTTATTCAACTGCAGTCGGTTTCCTTTTGTGATTATGCCGGCTCCCAAATCGTCTGCGATCAGTGTGGCTAACTAGGTGTGCAAAGGACTTTCCAGTTTGATGATGCCAGGTTTGCGGCTTCGGCTATAAGGGTCCAGGGTGAAAACTGCATTCACAATCAAAGAAGCCACATTTGCTGGGATTGACTTGGGGTTGAGAGTTTCACAAACTTAGTGGTTGTAGGGTTCTCGTGGCGTTCCTCGATGTCGAGGTGGGCCCTTGTGTTAATTTGTTGGTAGGCTCTCACGTTGAGTTCCGCACGTCTGGCCCAGTCCAGCTCAAAATTACGGCTTGAGCTTGGAGTTCACTGCTGCGCCTTCGTCCTCTATTACTCTCTCTATGTGCTTTGGGCGCTGAGTCCTCGGGAGCCTTGTCTCCTCTCAAGTGTCGCTGCCTTTTTTAGTCTAAACGTCTGCAAGGGTTGCGTAGAAAATGCAATCAAGAGTTGTGATCCGTTTCGTCGGCATGCTCCCAGGAGTACAAGGGTATTAACTATCAGATGTTTGGCCATACGTTTGGAGTCGTTTAAGCTAACGTCAAGTGAAAGCCAAATTCGCACCTTGTTCCCAAAACTGCCGCCGCCCAGCTTTCGAGCCAATAGAGGGCGATCCTTCGATATATGCTTGATCGTTGGGCAGTCTTTTGACTTCTGACGTTCCATTTCAAGATTTTCTGTACGGTAAATAGGGGGAAAGAGAAACTAGATGCCCAAGCGTTCGCTTGATTCTCTTGTAGCGTAACCAGTCTGCTTGAAAGGCTTCGCGGCCAGGCTTTGTGGGGACACTACCAGGAAGCAACCGCGTCTTCTTCGTTGTGTAATTTTGAGAATAACCCTAAATTATTAGCCTGCCACCTTTCATGCCACTGTTTATTAGAGATACCGTGGTAATCTTTATCGTTGCGTTAGAGAGCCAAATGACCTTCTTCTCCGCCAGAGGACTTGAAATGGAGGGCACGGAGTATTGGTTTAGCGAAGAAAGTTCGTTGTCAGCTTTCTTTTAGGTTGCTGTGTTCCTTGTGGTTGCTCCCTCCAGAGCTTTAGAAGGGCGCGTCATTTTTGCTTCTTATATCCCAATCAAAGTTGAACGATCCAACTGGTGCTTTAGATTCAGCAATGAGGACTTCGTTTCGATTTTGATGGCTCCATTTTTAGTTGCGGAACGCAGCGTACTTTCAAGGTTGAGGCGGCTGGCGCAGAGAAATGGGTCGGGAAAGTTAGCTAGTTAGCTTAACTCGCCGCATTCTAACCTGTAGCTTTGCGAAAAAAGGCGAACAAACGCTTTGATATTGCCAAATGCAATATTACCTTTACTTCCACGCACAAAAGCGCTAACTAGAAACGTATCCAGTATTTCAAGGTTGCTCTGCTCGGAGAAGCTAAAATCTCACGGAGGAGGGAGAGTGCAGAACACTCGTTCAGGCGAAAAGATTCATTATCAGCTTTCGTCCAGGCCGCTTTGTTCTTTGTGTTTGTGTCCCCCAGAGCTTCAAACAAAGCGCCTTTTTTGTTTGGGACGTCCTGATCGAAACCGAACATTCACATTGGTATTTGCGATTCAGCATTGGGGGATTGGTTTCGGTTTTGGTAGCTTCCTTTTTAGCTACGGAATGCCTAGCACCCTTAACATGTTGGCAGGTGACGCAGACAAACGGGTCAGGTGAGTTGGCCAGTTGGCCTACCTGTAAATCCACGCATTTAGAGTACCACCAGGCCTTGAAGGTATGGCATCGGATACCAAATCTTGCATTCGACGGACACCCATTTTGCCCGCATCGATTGTGGTTCATCGGTGGCTACAATGAGCAGCCTGTATTGCTTTGGGTCATGATTGCGGTTGAGTAAACCGCAAGAACTGAATACAAACTGACAGAGGCTATCCCGTAAAGGTTATGGCAAGGTAAAAATAAACAAACGAAACGTGTGTGTGTTGTGAATGGATCTAATAGCAAAATAATTCTTTGACAAATTTGCACGAAGGGAAGGCGAAACCGCGTTCGAACTACCGCCGCTAGGTCCAGTTTGTACAATTTGACGTTTACAAGGTGACTACGTAAGCTTGACATTGCGAAACTCATCCACATGCATCAAAATGTCATTAATCAACTCTTTTACATGACATTTTCACGATAACCGACGCTCCAGTTAGCTTCGATGTAGAAAATTTCACGGCAGAGTGCAGAAAACCCTAGTTCAATACCCTGATTTCGCCACCCACTCAGCATTTAGCAAACACTCACCGGCGCGCCAGTTTGGCTCATTGTAAATGTTTATTTCTTCCCTCAGTGTGATTCGCAAACGTCCTCGAAATTATGCTCCCGTGCCGCGGTAACCCGACGAACCAGCTGCCAACAGAATTGTCCCTGAAACGTAAACCAAGCAATCATGCGAACTGACAAAATGAAACAAACGCGAAAACGATTATGTGTTGCAAACTAAATAGTGTGGTCAAAAAATAACAGTAAATTTTGAAACAGCAACCTTAAAACTATCAATGGAAAAATCAACATAATGCTGTGAAAAGGGGGGAATGGCCTATGAAAGTTATTACAGAAAAGCATGCAGCGTTTCAAGCGGTATGATATAAAATATCTGGTGAAAAATCGAATCCCGTGTAGGAAGGGAACTGTCAGAAATAAGAAGACTTCCGCCGCTCCAAATCCATCACACCTTGGCATTTTCTGGGAAATGTACGCTGAGGACAACACGCCGCTTCTCAATTTTATCATTAAGTAGGTTCCAGGTCTTCAAAGTGAGCCTAGTATTGGGTCTAAATGACGTAGATGATTAAGCTGAGGATTTTGCACTGAAAACACTGCACGTAATCGGGTTGGAAACCAACGATCATTGAAAAAATAATCTTACCCCGGTCTAGGTTCTCTATGGCGATTTCCTAGATTTCAGGTACAGAACTCAGAGTCATGACGTACGCGGGCTGGTAATGACAGAAAAGCCACTTGTGTGTCAGTTGCCACAAAAGTAATGTTCTGCATGCCTCCGTACTTGGTTCACGAATGCTTCAGGGGCCTGGCAAACAATACATGAAAGGCGGACTGTAGTGATGCAGTTATCTGCGGAAACACTTGTCGCTAAGACGCCCGTCAGCTCGGTAGCTGTGTTGAACCGTTGAACATCACTTGGCTTGTTCATGCCGCAAGATATACCCGTATCAAAAGAATGACTGATGAAGGGAAAGATCATTCGGGAATGGGCTACAGCTGTGTTCGCTCAAAATAACAGCAACGTTCATTTGAATGTTGGTGTTTGTCATCCCATCATGAAGCTCTTGGGGCAGCCGCAGCAAACCCGCTTTCATTCCAGAGGGCGTGTACGTCCCACTGGCCCTTTGTCGCATTGACGCGGGGTTTCCAAAACAATTCGTTGAGTCTTCATGAGAAGAAGAAATATCTCAGCCCCTCCAGCACAGTGGCTTAACCAGTCAACGTAAGGATCAGTCTTTGAGCCATCTGGCGAACAGCTGTTTTAAGATGTTCCAACGCGGCACTTGGTGGTTAGAGAAGTAGGCAGTTGGCACACAATATGGGTGTACGCGGAATATACGGATTGATCCCTAGGTAACTTGGAGTGGGTTTTCTCTTGCCGTGAACAGCTGTATTATGGAGTGGAGGGATTTCCGGGGACCCCGGTGGCGCCTCCCTTTTCAATCTTAAAGTAGTAATGATGGGACTTAGTGAAGCCGCCGATGGTGAGCAGTTGTATTGTATAGACAACTCAAGCATAGCAGGGACTTCCGGCCTGATTAATTATGAATCTTACGCACAGAGGTTTTACCCGTTGGATCGTGACCGCCCGACATGCTTTCCTCTATACGTTTGAAGCCAACCAGCCCGTACGAAGTAATTTTTGGGACATTGACGATTGCTCAAAAAATCTCGTTTACAATTTTGGTGCGCGTAAACACACCAGACGTAGAGGATACCACAGGACGACAAACCTAGCTCAGGCACAAGGCGGATAAGCCGTACGCACAGCCTCCCGCCAATAACCGCTGGAGGTAAGTTGATCGATGGTTTATATTCTGTGGGGACCCGTAGTGGGGTTTGTTCTTATTAAGTAAATGTATCGTGGTGTGTAGCCGGCTGGGATGACTGTCGTTTCTCATCACCAACGCGGTGGGGGTCTGAACGCAGACAACAACTAGTAGGCTGTGCCAAGGTGTCGGCTATATGGCCGGCGCATTACTGGTGGTTAGGTCCATGCTGCTTGGTAGTCAGTGAGGCCACCGACATGCCAATCATACGACTGCTTCGGAGATTTGATTGACCCTGGTCATTGCATAGGCGGTTAGGAGACGCCCGCCGAGTTGTCGTGCGCACTCACTAATTGATGATTTTCGTGGTTTCATTTGGCTATAATAATTCTGTCGGAAGGTACAACTCACGTTCCAACGTTAGAGGTGATGGACCGAAGCAATTCGTGGCCTGGGTGATAGTGCGTGGTTCTTGTTTCACTAATTCGCATGAGGTGGTGGGAGGATGGCTTAAATGCCGTGCCTTGAACGGGAGAAGGAATGCTGAGACTGCATAGGGTGATACGCACTCTTCAACGGGATGTGACGGCAGTCTTTTGGTTTACAATGGAACACAACACTTTGTGGTCGAACACAACCGGAGTACACCTGATGTCCCTCGAGAGGCATCACGCAGATCTGCATGATGGGGATAGGGCCAAAGACATCGAGTCTTAAGAGATCGTTTGGGTCCTTGGTGGTAAATCCTTGCAAGACGGCACGTGGAGAAGTAGTTCTGGTTATTTTTGCGCATTAGGGCATGGCCGTGTAATTTGTAGCCAATGTCACAAAAAACCTTTATCACGTCGATTTAATTACGCTGCGTGCGTCAGCATGGGTCTTTCACGTTCTCTTCTAAGGGCAGCAAACACAATCCAACATAAGTTCTATCTACCGAATTGCCTGCTCCCATGCCCCTGGAATTTTTCAGGCTAACAGAGGGACTGTTGGTCTGTTCGAAAGTTTATTCATTTGGAAGCCAAACTGAAGCAAATGAATGGTTGGTCCAAGTCAGGCGATCCATATCATGACAAATTACTGCTCCATACGGGGACTAGCTGCTTAGCAGAGGTTTGCACCAACAGCCGCTAATGGCTCGATGACCAGGTGGGGTAGGCTTGGGCGTGTGGCGTTTTTGTACCTTTATTTTACTTCCATTATAACACTAGGTATTTCATCAATTGCATAATCGTTTTTTGTTTGAATACGAGAAACTACAAAAAGCGCGCCCTTGTACAATTTCACATAATACAAGCGTGGTCACGTGCTTCGACTCTCTCTTCTGATTTCGCTCGCGCTTGCAGCGGTCATTCGCGAGTCTCATATACTAACTCTGTTACCCAAAACATTTCAGACTATCTTCGGAATCTATTATATGTGGAAACTGTTGAGAAGAAGACCTCTGGACCAACACTATTGGATTATTGTTTATTCGCTGACCTGGGCCAACGACGAACTATTTTAAAGAGAACAATTGTTAGTGAGTCTGTTCCATCTGACCTATTTATTTTTGTATACCCAACTTAGCGTAATTATTTTTATTACTTTGCCACACACTCCTGGTAAACTGACTTATTGGGTAGCCAGACCACTACAGGCGCAGGGCCTGTTGGTTGGCTGCTCAAATCCGGACGAGTTCGTCCGACCACCTTTAAACTTTTCCCGTTAGCACGATTCTTCATAGGACACTACTGCTTTTGCTGACGGTCATATACAGCAAAAAATAGGATTAACCAAGACGAAAAAAACTAAATCTGCCGAATGCGAAAAGACATGGATATGTATGCATATCCAGGACTGTAGTTGAGTTTGAATAGAGATTTCCGGTAACAAAAATCTCGAATTCCTACCGAGTTTTTATTCGAAGAAGTGATGTGGTTAATCAGAAAGACAGGTCGATGTGGGGCATTTTAAGTTGCGTGGATACGTGCTGCGATGTTAATTTTACTTATTCCCTTTATAGACGTTAATTGTACATATCTAAGCAGAGAAATAGAGATCTCCAAGAATAAATTTCTTAAAATTGTTTTGTGCTGTTTTATCGCTCACACCGGTAGTCCATCTTTCTTTAGTATATGCGCATTAACCGTTTAACTTTTTTCCCTGGTTTGTGCACAAGTGAGGTTTGAACGCGCGCGCTTCCGGGCCGGTGAACAACTAACCAATCAGAATGCGGGCTTGTGCATGAGATGTATGCCGTTCTGTTGGGGTCTGGAACAAGCTGCCCGGGAGATAAGGCTTGAAGTGCCGAAGAAATCGAACGAGGACCAGCATTTCCCATACAAAGTCAGGTTATTGTCCTTCCTGTATCTAGTCATCAGCCAGTGTAGCTCACAAAAGCCTCTTGGTCGTTTTGTTTTGATCGTACAGCTCCAGTGGCTGTGTCGTTGTTGCGTCTACCGAGGACAAGCGAGCGGTTTTTGATTAAGTTGTATCCGGAGACTAGAATTGGACTTTGATTTGTTCGTCAAGGCCTCAAAGGCTTCACGACACTTCCTCCCTGTGCGGGAACTTCCGTCTTCTGTTAATCTCAGAAGCGGTGTTGTTATCTCTGCGAAACGGGACACAAACTTACGTTGGTTTGAGGAAAGCTCAAGATTAGTACTTCCTCCAGACGTTCGTTAGCGGGAAGGAGTCGCGTCTTATTACTGAGTTGAGTTTGCGATATTTGGTACACAAACAAAGATTACCGTCCTTCATTTACTGGATTCACGAAACCCAAGACGAGTTTGACGGCTTTGGAAAATATTTATGCAACATGTTCTTAAGCAGTACATCCAGCTGAGGCTTGATGCACTAGTTAGTCGCCCTAGTGCATGCCAAAACGGGGGTGATCCGTATCAATCTCGCGCTTGACCATGTTGGTTCGGCTTAGTATCACCCACCGCTTGAAATTTGTCGACACCACTGAAGGTTTAGCTTATCCCTAACTGGAATGTCTGTTCGGTTACACATGGGTTTCATCATGGTCTTGCTGTTTGCCTAGTTATTGGCGTTCACTGAGTTGTGACTTCTGGACATCAATCAGATTGTGCGGGTTTTCACATTGGTTACTCCGGGTTTGTTCTCCTGGTCAGAAAACCCACCCTAGGATGGCAAGCCATATAGGCGATTGGTGATGATGAGCTTTTGCTCGAAGCTCGTAGATACAAATCGGATGGAGACGGGTACCACAGAAACAATACAGAAAACGGTGGCCATTGGTCGTCAAAACTGACTGTAAGTGGGCTCTGATGCTCTAGCCCTGATTAAATGTAACAGTACCGTTGATATGACTAAGCGTGGTGCATCTTTACCTCCCAATGCTTCTGCTCTTACATTATGAAGAAAACTTGACCGAACGGTTAGTGGTGAACGAAGAGATATTAACACTGAACTGCGTACCCATAGCACGATTGGGTACCCGATGTCGATTTCCAATTAGGCTCATTATTCCCACTTCATCGACCCCTCAGTCTTTAATCTGTCCGTGTCGACAAGTATGGAGTCCAGTAGGTAGGTTTCGGCGACTCGTATCGTAAAACCTGCTTCGGTGGTGGTGATCAGTTGATGGATTAATTATTTGGCAGCCTTGCAAGCCTATGCAGCTCGAACAGCACCAGCCAAGGTAGGCGGCGGCTTTCTAACAAATTGAGATTTGGCCCTTGGATTAGTGGGCTCTAGAGTGAAGGACCTGGTGTTTGAGGTTGGCAGACATATTGGGGAGCGCTCACACGGCCAACTCGCGCGAGTCCACAGAGTACATTTAAGCGTTCTGATAAGTCTTGCTTGTAGTACAAAATATTTCCAAGATTACAACAACAGGTACGAAGGAACCAAACAGCATACTTATGGCCTTCCATACTAGTTTATATCATCTGTTTGTGGTGAGTTGCATGCGATCAGTCTTCCGACTATCTTATCACTCAGGAAACCGAAGGTTACCTTTGGATGTTCATGATGTACGTCTATTAAGTGCATCTTCATCCGTTGTCCCCACAGTCCAAATTAATGCCCTGTGTGAAGCATGTTTGGCTGTCTGTCCAACAGCCTGTGTTCACACGTTGCGGCACGCACCGGTGAAGTCGAAGGTATTAGATAACGTCGACGCCGACAGGATACAATTGCACTACGATCATCTTTTGCCGTCGGGTAATTATCTCGTCTCTATCACCACTTGCAGTATATGTAAGAACGGGTGAAGTTGATGTGGTCTGAACATTTTACTTGGGCAGAGGACCGCAAGGAAGCCATGAACGAACTCACATTCTTCATCAGTAGTATCCGCCGTTACCTTCGTACCTCGACGTTAGACAGGCAACCAGTGCCAGCACTCACTGTTATGCCAGCTGGTGGTTTGCGATGGGTCTATACAAGTTCGCGCTTATTCGTTAGCATTTACATCGACTCCGATTTCATGCGCACAGCACTGCATTCGGCCTCGCAAAAAACCTGTCGCTCTTTACTATGCGCAGACGTCAAGCGGTTTGACCACTGTTGACCGGCAAGCTTGATTTGAACGCCACCCATTCATTAGTGTCCATGGTCATGACCGTGCACTGATGACATCCCCATAATTGGTGACGAGACGTTTGTAAGCAAGCTCATCAAATGCATCAACGTCCGCTTTATCTACAGTTACTCACTACATTGTTTTACGTCTGCGGAACTTGGCTACTTCGGGTGGAGGATATAGGAAATCTTCAACTCTTTGATCAGCGATATCTTAGGACTGTATCTCGAATCGGGTAGAATAGACAAGATCACAGTGCGTTGATCAGGTGGCGCAAAAAGCATTCAATGAGGGAATTCACCCAGCACAGTAGGCTAAGGCGTCTGGGTAGTGTGCTATGCACACCGAGTCCGTCTACCAAGAATTGTTTTCTCGCACCGCATTCGGATTTGCAAAATATGACTTGGCAGGAGGGAATAGCTGATGTTACACAATGTTTGGTTTGTGTTGGTGCTGTTTGCCTTCCAGGATGATATTAACGTAACGTTCTCTGTGCCTGGCTGACGGTAGTGATTGATGTGACTGCAGTCGCATTCATGCTGCCAGTTTCTATCCAGATTGTAGGACTGACTGTTGGAAGGGTAGACACTGATTATCACCTCTGCATTTCGCAGCTTTGTGGCGAAAAGCGGACAGGGTTTCGAAATAGGAAACTTTTTGAGCTTGCTCATAGACGGAAACTCACAAGCTGTTGCTGTGAGTGGTATCTTTAAATGAAGCATGTCTCCACCCCCATGTTGCTCCTGTGTGCATTGATTTGCGTTACACTCATTTTCTGTCTCGTGTTTTATCTGATTTACCTTGAACCCACTTGTGCACCTCACCTACGAGTGAGAATGGCTTTGAAACTTGTTCATTTATTCATGTATTTCATCTAGGTGTCCACAAACCATTCCTTAACGGCCGGAATTTTTATTTTGGTGAACTCACGTTGCTGTCGATTTTCGGATCAGTTGTTGGTCTTTGAGTCCGCCTAAAAACCACTCGTGCGCTGCTTCTGCACCATGATTTTTGTAATCTGCTAATTTAGGCTGATTCGTCTGGCGGTTCGGTTGTTACAAAGTCAGCTGTTTTTATTGCTAATGAGTGGTGATACTGGGTTTTCGGTAGATGGAAGCGTTATGGAAGGGGTAAGTTTTCCAATTCCATACCATTGGTTTCTCGTCAGGGTGGACAGATTCTACGAACTGCGGTCGCTTGTGCTGCAATCATTTGTCGACCTGTGCACGTGAACAACATCCGTGCAGGTCGTCCAAAGCCTGGACTAAGGTACGTCGACCACTGTCCCTAATAGCTGTTTTACCTCAGCAACCAACACTTAACTGGTATAATACTTTGTGCAGAAATCAGTGGTGGCGAGTTGTCCCATTGTCGTTTGGGTTCGACAGAGCTACAGTTCAAACCTCGCTCGGTCAGATGTGGGACGTATGAAGCAGATGCCAAAACAGCGGGGTATAGCTAGTCGAAGGCTGACCATTTTCTTCCTGTATACTCATTAGGTCGATATCCCTACTACTTCAGGTTGCCCTCCCAGTTTTGGCCTATGCTGGGTCTGGGTCTTCCAGTATCCTGCTGCTGAAAGGAGGCACGGACGCGCAATTCGCTCCGCCAATAGACTACATGTCCGAAGTAAACGAGAGTAGTTCTTATATTTTATCGCTTTGTCTACACAGATCACGCTCTATTTTCTGGAGAAAATGGGACTAGATTGCGAACTGGAGGTTATTCGTCGGTTAGTTATTTTTGTTTTATAACGCAACCTGTTTTCAGTGGATTCTACCCTCAGGGTGGTGGAGTCGTCAAGGCACAAGTACATCGCCTCAGTTCACCCCTCCTCCCAATCACAATGTTAGACCCAGGGCCTGTGGATCACGTGTCAGGCTACGCGTTCGTTGCCGGCCGTGTTCCTGTTAAGGTAGGTCACATTACTGCTTCCTCTTAAACAATAGCAGCTACTTGAATAGGTGTCCGCTCGTTCCTAAGAGTCAATCATGGCAGAAAAGCCAAAAAGGGTGGGGAGAGGGTAACCAGACAAAGAGCTACAAGCACCCGTACTAGTGGTACTCGTAATATGGAACGGCCCCGGGCAGAGTCGTTCCATCCTCTGTGACGAGAATGTGAAGATAACCGAAATGTTCATATTCATGTAAACAGTAATGCTGCCTTCCTTCAACAAGTGGTGATTCAGAAAAGACGACCTAGAACCCACTCACTCCGATCGCCAAACGGTTGGTTGTGACCACTGGCGCATTATTCAGTACTGTTGAAACACTTTTGAAACCAGAGTCTAGCACTACTCAGAACGAAGCTGTTGTTGTCAGCCACACTTTGAGGCAAACAGTTGTCTGTGAGCTCTCGGGCTAGGGATGTTTCCCACAACGAGCTGCGTCAGACTGTCAAGTCTTTTGCTCCGGGCAGGGCTCTGCAAGAAAACCCTGGCACCTGTTGTCTCGTGGATCACAATGTTGACTCGGGCGCTACGGACAGAAGCCGGAAACAAAACCATACCATTTCCGCTACTATGTTACCCAGAGTCTTGAATCCAAGGCTCAAAGTAGGATACCTCAAACAACCCTTTCTTGGAACTAGACACCTTGGAACTAACAACTTCCTATACAGCTCAGGAGCAATGTTTACTTACTCTATCATTTCCAACCTAATTTACTGCCCTTTCCAATACAGATAAATGTACACTTCTAACACCAGGAAATCTGTTCAACGAAGTGACGTCCAATGCTGGTACTGTTCGTTAATTAGGTTCAAAGACGATTCTTTTTTCTTCTCACAAATCGACATACACTATGTCTCCAAAATACCCATACTGGACCATACTTTGATAACACATCTGGACGTGACCAAAGACAGCTCAGTTTGTTCATTATTTAATCCCCGGGTCTCAGTTGATCGGAAGCAGTTCCTCGTGATCCCAGTGAGTATTGTGTTTGGCACGCGAGGTGAAAATGCCCTGCTGGACTGGATTCCTGTGACAGCCGATTGTGCAGCCAGACTGGCCGGATATGTCTGAATCCACAACCGACAACCTCGAACCCGAAGTCTGTCCGTTATCTCTGTATACTTTCAAACAAACTGCAGGAGTGACATTGTTGAAGCTGCTTTTCATGAAGAAACTTCTGGTCTCCCGTTGATCGTAGGTTCACGAAAATCACTATTCTAGCTGATGGTTCGAATGCCCATTGGTCAGCTATCTACATGAATGAGAGCCGCATCGGTAACAGATTTGGTACAGATGCTCTTTGAACCAACAACGATGGTCGCTTCCTACAAATGTGCACTGTCTACTTATTGTCATTTAGTGCTATGATCTTGTGTCTGCAAGATTCTATCAGCAAATTAGTCTATCAGCAGCAGCTGTTCCGGTAAATTACGAACGCGAAACAAATCGGTCGACCAATTGGGGACTGGCTCGGAATCCGCGATGTTATGGTTTCGGTATTTGCTTATGTGGGTTTCAAACGGAGACCACCGGAACGACATTGCACTTCAGTGGTAAGATCTCTGAAACAGTGTCCGACCAGCAATCTCAAGACTGACGGGATGAAGTGATGGTTAAGAAAAACCTAAAGAATGGATAATGTTACGAAAATTGGGAAGGGTCAACCTACCCGCTATGTTTAACTCAGAAAACTGCCAAAAAGTTCGTTTCAGGTCTAACCAATTGCTTCGCTGGTTAGAACGCTTAGAATGATTGAGTTGGCCTGAGCTACCCAACATAGCGATCAACGCAACACCGGCTTCACAACAGGATGTGAATTCCTCGGTACCAACGGAAAACAAAGCCAGAAAGGAACTCAAGCTTCCGAAGCGAGATAAAGCCTCCGGCTCCAACTTTCTTTTCCCTCTCTTGTGTCAGGACGGAAAGGAAGCACTAGTTCAATCTGAAAAACTCACGCGAAGCATCCGAATAGGAAGGAATTTCCGGATGACTGACATATCCAAAGATCATAAACCTCAATGGTGGGTCACTGGGGTGTCAGTGTAGTTGTCGCTCCTAAGCTATCCACGGACATAACCATATGCACGCTTGATAACATTCGCGAGAGACAGATTTATGAAAACCCAGCAGGGCGTCGCCCGCGTCGTGGGTGAATTGACCACATTTTTACCTCACGACAACTTGAACACCGCTACACGTATACAAGGCTAACAGTTGTCTTATAGCTAAAAGCAACGTTCGATTTTGTCAATCACGCTTATTTATATCGATGTCTCTGCTGCTGGTTCTTCTAACCGCGCTTATCCAAAAGAGAATGCTTCTGAAATTCATGAATATTTCCCCTTCCCCATGTTGCTTAAGGCCTGAGCATGCCAAACTGTATGGGAAGTTCATCGAGAGCTTCCTTATGGAAAGCGATGCCCAACAAATGTGTTTAATTTCTCCACCTCCGTTTAGCTTCATCACTGATGAGACAAGGAGGCAAACAATAGAGGTTTACGAACACAAGCGTCCAAATCTTTGCTGATACAAAGTCGTTATCGCCTACAAAGAAAAGTAAAGCACAAGCGCTGGTAAATATATTGGCTACCATACCGCTGTCCGACATGTGCTTCACGTTTTAAAATGCAAAGCCGCACTTCGAAATTTTCAGTCTTTGAACTCACCTGGCTTCTCAGGACGGCTACCGGATTTGGATGATATTGAGCGCTCCTTAATGAGATGATTAGAAAGTGAGTGCCTTAGTCACGATACCACCAAATGTGGGGCCTCTGTCATTTACTACGGCCGCCGAATTGTCACCCCTTTCTCTGGATGGTGCAAACGACGACATTTAAAAATTACAGAAGAGTGTGAGGGAGACTACGAGAGATTTGCGTACCGCCGATGCAGTCCGCCCCTCGGAATAGGTTTAATGTAACCCCCACGAGCATTGTTAAAAACGTTGCTGGACCCAGCTGCTGAGTTATTACAATGGGCTTTGTCCAACCTATCAGAGTTAGTGTTAAGTTGTACCCCAGAATGAGTGTTACATTAGCATCCTATCTTCTCTTTTTTCTTTCTACCGGTTGTAATGTGGGTAATCCTGAGTATCAATATTGATATTCTCGCGGTTACTGTTAATGACTGTGATGACAGAATGGGGATAAGGAAAGGACGAGCGATAGACATTGGTGATGATGACTGTGACGGTTACGAATTCTCTATGGAGTTCGTAAAAGGTTGGTGACATCTTCATTATTGCTGCTTAGAATCAGGTTTCTCAAGAATAATGAATCGTGAGCTTATTCGAATTCATGTACGTACTAGTTAGTGTGTACGCTCCATTCGGTTCGGTAGTCACTTGTTGTTAGGGTTGAAGATGAACATTGAATGGGAACACATGCCAGCTGATGCTCGCCGCACCTACTAAACGAGACACGATCGTTCCCATTTTTGAAGCTCAGTCCCCAGCAATTGATTTATCTAGGCTGTTTGCTGACAGCGTGACAAAATATAACTAGTTTAGTTGCGCCACTTGGCTACTGGTTCCCAAACTCGGCGAACAAAGAAGTAAGTATATCGTTTACTTTTTTCAGGAACGAGGAGTCCAGGTTTTAGCCATGCCGTGAAGTAAGACTTAGTGCGCTTTCAAAAGCTGTTGTGAATAGCACACTTCTCGGCGAAATTACGTCAAAGATAGTCCCAAAATACATGTTCTATTTATCTATTTTTGTGCATTGACTGAAGATTCAATCATTATCCTGTGGATTGACAGTGCCACTCCATAAGGGTCTCAGTCGTCAAGTGTATATGCCAAGTCACAACGACGTTTACTGCGCTGTGGGATTATTTCCCAGGGGAAATAATAGACATTTTTTCACTTTATGCTGAGAACTAGTATGCCTCTACTTGCCGACGACACCAGTTTCGTGCCTCGGACGGATGCGGGGCCTCTGCTCCGAGCACGTCCCACTCGTTGGAAGTGAAGTTAACATCACTACTCTTTCATTCGGCAGGTCGCCCACGAAATGGAGCGCGAATGTGTACGTTGTTGTTCACAGTCGTTTCCCTCTTGTCCTGTGAAGATCCGTGTCTTCCGGGAAGACGATAACCACTGTACCGGAAACGTGTCCACCTTTTTGTGAGTTACTTCACTTTGGTGCACTTCCCACTTTATGGTGTACTCGTGTTTGTTGCCTCTTCTTCTATGGTGATGCTCATCGAACATAGTATAGGTCGTTTGTATAGGGCCACAAAACTTCGATCCAATCTAGACAACCGTAATTTTTGTTAGGTAACAGTAACCTGAATAGCTACTTTCAAGCGCGGCGTCACAACTCCCGTATGTATGGCCTGTCTTCATCATCTACGGTGTTTACATAATTTGCTCAATGTGAAGCACCGGAGACGGTCAAAATGTTCTGTCATTCATCTTGCTTGGACTGCAAATGAAGACAAGAAGGACAAAGAAGAACCTGTGAACTATGGATTATTTCACTTAGGATTCAGGCATCATGATTATCTGACTGGAGACCGAAATATAACGACTGTTTGTGGCTAGGGACCCCAGAGCGATTCCCAGTAGCGCTTTTATCTACTGCAGTACTCGTTTGGACCGTTAATTACCGCGCGCTTTCTCCTCTATGCATCGAAGTTCCACATAATTATGCTTTTATCAGATACGAACTATCGTTGGAAATACATATGAATATGTGATGTGTGTGTGTGTGTGATCGAAGACGCCTTTGATCACCACTATGGGAGCTCCATAGTAAGTTGTGCTGTATGAAGTGCATGATGATGTTAGAGCAATATAAACTGGTGATTCAACTGCTATTCTTATGAAGTCTGATAAGAACATGTCCGTGTTGATTCAGAAGTTGCATTCATCAATAGCCTTAGAGTATGACAAGGTGTTCTGTCTTTTCATCCCACTAAGGGCAAACTCGTATCTCAGTTGCCGTAGCAGACCCCAACTACATCCACTTTATCCTCTGGGTCGAAACTGCTTGCCCATTCGTCGTCTTGTATTTTAGGCGAATTAGAACGTGAAATGTAATTACTAGAAGAAATGTTGTCGTATTGGAGTATTGTCTTAAGGTATAATGGAATACCTCTCAGTAGCATAATGCTCGTTTATTGCTGTTTTTTGCCCAAAGTTCTTGTTTAAAAAAATATTTTTTCTAGGTTTATTGTTCATACGAAAAATGGCAGTCGACTGGCTGTGTCTGGTTTGGGCAATCCACGTGGTCCGCATCATACAAAGCTTGTCCAAGATGCGATAGCCAGGCTGACAACGCTTGTTCACTTGCGTGCGTGTTGTGATGACAATATGCAAGACCAGGTGAGTGGTTGATTTTGGAAGCACTTGGCGGTCCGTAGACGTTAACTGTCTCAGCTGTAAGGCGCAACGTTCTGGTTAATAAACGAATATTTTCGTGTGCATCTGCACATCAAGTGGCTGCACGGGGGGTGAACGACAAAATAACTTAGTAGACAAAGAACCAACTTGTGGGCGCCTACCCGCCATAGGTGTTCATGAATCTGAGCCCGATTAACCCGGCGCGTTGTGGATTTACCTTTGGAGAGAGCTATGTTCGATCCTCCATTGGTGTCTTGATATCAGCTACTGGTCCCCGCGTTGATAAGTTGTAGTCCTTGTGTTCCATCAAGAAAGACGAGGAATTTACTTTTGGATCAGCGGGTGCGTATGATTTATTAAGACCCCAAACGTCTCTAAGCAGTCGTATTCTACGCTGACCGCTGACCGTTGTAGGATGGGTCGGCACTCTGATTCCACGTTCTATTCCAGAAACGGATCCTGCATGCCACGTTGAGACCGGAACTCTCCCTATCGAACCCGGCAGCGCCGAAGCATGTATTCGGTTCCCCTTCTTTACGGCTGCGCTGCCCTGGGTGTTCTAAAGATGCCCGTGCAGGTGTGCACTGGAAATTCCACTAAATTACCATTCGTAAAAACGTATGTCGCCACACATGTTGCAGCTTTTAACTTGGAGGTCCAGGAGAGTGTTCGTCATGCCTCTAATCATCGACAAACTTGGTATGAGAGGCTCTGCGAGTATCGCACGCACGCCCCCAGTATCGCTCAGGGGGTCTTAGTGACACAGATCGCTGCGGGGCGAGATAGTTCAGTGGAACTCATCTAGAGCCCACAGGTGAATTAGA